ATGCAACACCTGGTCTTCTCCAGGCCATGGGAAAAGCATGAAGCAACACTGCCTGCATGTTTCTCAAGCTGAAAAATAAGACCAACCCCTTAAAAAGGCCAGGTGTATTTTGTGACTCCACAGGGCATCGCACAAAGCTCAAAGGGGACCCAGAACCACATGCTATGGACTTAGACTGGCCTCAGGGCCAAAGACCAGTCCTTGCTCCTGTTTTATTTAACCAGGTTTTGCAGGTCTCAGATTTCTTCTGTTCTCATCCCTCCCCGTCCCTTCCTTGCAGCAGCAGACAAGAGCCGAGAGGTGGAAAATCACGTCAGCGTTTAAGCAGCTGCACCAGTTCCAGAACGAGCAAGAGCGTCTCCTCTTGATGTGGCTGGAGGACACGGAGAAGCAGATAGTGCAGACCCAGACAGAGAACGACAGGAAGATCTCCATGGAGATCTCCCACCTGGGCAACCTCATTCAGGAGCTGGAAAGGATAAGCCCACAGCCAGAGAATAAATCCCTGCAGGTGAGAGCGAGGAGCCGGGTGATGGAGTTTGCAACACTCCAAATGTGCTGTTGAGGTGGTGCTCAATTCTTCCTCTCCCCAGTTGCTTTGCCTTGACATTTTGAGTAGTTTATTTAGATGCTTATTGCATGAAGAAGCCATACCATACATTATATATCAATATCAATGAGCTACACTAGGTCATATCCAACCCATGAAGAGGAGGATCCCAGAATTGGCATCTTGGAAGTATCCACCAACTCTTTCCCTCCCAAGCCCAGGCAAAGCAAGGGATATTGATGCACATCTTGCATGACTGTGGCAAGAGCTAATAAATGAATCCTGGCTTAAGTCCAGGGTGAGGCTACTCAGCAGAGGACCACACTTTCCCTCCCCAAGAGACCATGCCAGGCAGGACACAAGCAGAAGCAGCATTTGGAAGTGGATATGATATTCTACCAGCTGTGTTTGAGCATTTCTTCTAGCCAGGGAGCAGACTGAAGGGACTAAATGGGCCACTGGATGAGTACAAGAGGTCCCTGATCTTGCTCTGTCCTGGCAAAAGAAGATCTAAAACAAGCAAAGCACACTTGCAAACAACAGCTGAGGGAGATAAGAGATATAAAGGGGCCTGAAGATTGCTCAAAATTTAATGCCCATCTTCTCTCTCCTTTAGGATGCCAGGAATGCCTTGACCAGGTATGTGGCTCTCCCTTTCCAGAGGGGACGGTCTTCCCCAGCACAATGTCAAGAAGCAGACATGAGCAGGGGAGCAGGAAGAGTTTATCCTCTCTACCAGAGTCCCCAGCACTCAGGGTGAGGAAGAAGCTGGGGAGGAGATGGCCCTGGGTTGAGATCACATCCCCACCAGCAGGAGGAAACCAATATCCACCATTGAGGAGGTCCAGAGTGAGCGTGTGTCCTCCACAGGGGCATTGGGACCACTAATATGCCCAGCAATGTCTCAACTGACTCAACTTGATGCCTGGGGAGAAATAAGCTTACCTGGCAGCTTTTCTAAGCAGGGTTTCTACATAGCTCATTCAGCAAGGAAAGAATGCAAAAGTCTTCTCCTTCCAGGTGTGAAGCAAGGACCTTCCAGCAACTGACAGAGAAGTTCCCTAGAGTGGAAAAGAGACTCAAGGATTTATCTCAGAAAAACATTATTCTGAAGGAAGCCCTGAGAAAATTCAAAGGTACAAAGGAAGGGGAAAATCTAAACACACTTTTGCAGCTGGAAAGGAGTGGACACTAGCCAATTACCAGCATAAAGCCCCAGCTAAGGAATACTAATGAGGAGTTACTCAATAATCCTCCTATCTGGGGCTGGAGCTGGAAGAGGGAGGGTAACTGCATCCCCAGGTGTATTTGCAGATGTGTCTGAATGCTTGAGTGATGTGAAGGACTAGAGCAAGCCCCTCCCTTCAGCTATATGAAGGAAATTAATCAAATTCTTGATTCCAGTCCTATTTAAACCAAACAGGCTGTAGGTGACGTCTAGCCATCCATGAGGCAGGCAGCGTGAAAAGTCAATGTATTGCAAATGGATGGTGGTGCATACACACATAAACCCTGAATGAGCTATTTTGAGACTGTTCTCCATGTTCAGATAACTGTCCCATTCCCTTCTCTCATCTCCAATTAGTAATTGGTGCAGTCAACTCTGAATTAAGGAAATAGCCACATAAAGCTGGTCATATTGGGTTTGAAGGTCCATCTATCCACAAGCTGGACTTGTTCACTTGGTGATTTTGCTTGTTTTGCAAGGAGAAAAGTGCACCTCCTCATATTTATCCATTTCTACTACACTCCCTCTCCCTCATCAACAAACTAACAGCAATTCTCTCCTCCTCTCTCATTCCAGAGAGTCTCCCAGTTGAACTGGATGTGCAATGGGGTAAGTCACACAAGACTGGAGGTATACTGGGGTAAAAAGGGGACCCAAATGAAAAAAAGACAGCAAAAGCAGGGAATTCACACTTTTCTGGTGGGTTGGTGAGATGAATTTCTATTCCCTTTGATCAGAATTAGAAATAGTACAAATCATTAGAGCCTTTAAATAGATCTGCATGGAAGATTTAATGGAGAAAGCCTTTACCAAACAGCTTCGGTCAGGCCAAGATTTCATCCCTGGAAAAAACAAGAGGATGCAGATGGAGAGAAATATCCATCGTCTTCCCTCTGACATGCTGTTTTCCTTCTCTCATGGTTTCTTTCCCATCAGCAAACGTGACTCTGGATCCAGACACAGCAAACCCCCACCTCATCCTCTCCGAGGACCGGAGGAGCGTAAGGTGGGATGAAACACCCCAGAATTTGCCCAACAGTCCCCAGAGATTTGATACCTACTGCTCTGTGTTGGGTTGTGAAGGCTTCACAGTGGGGAGGCACTACTGGGAAGTGCAGCTGGGGAGCAGGGGATTTTGGGCTGTGGGAGTGGCCAGAGACTCGGCGTGGAGAAAGGGTTGGATTAACCTCGACCCTTCCCAGGGGATTTGGGCTGTTGGCATCTGTGGGGACAGGTTTCAAGCTTTCACCTCCTTCGAAACTGTTCAGCCTCTGAATGGGAGGCCAAGGACTATCCGTGTCTCTCTGGATTATGAGAAGGGACACGTGGCTTTCTTCGATGCTGATAACGAGACCTTGGCTTTTGCTTTTCCTCCAACTTCTTTCAATGGAGAGAAAATCCTGCCTTTCTTCTGGGTTTGGGAGTCCAAGATCCAACTGGTTCCCTGAAACAGTATGGGCAGCAAGATGGACATTACATGCGCTGGACAAGCCTTTGGTTTGATCCAGGAAACCACACTATATTTCAGGACTCTATGGATGGTAAAGAATAAAGTGGAGCAAATGAGTCCCAGTGTCCACTTTGAATCTTGTTGTCATGGGGCTTTCAAGAGCAGCAGGTTGAGAAGGGATTGTCTTGGGCAGACCTCTGGATTTTTTAACATTTGGGTACTCTCAAAGATTTTGCTAGGGAATATCACCCTGGGACGAGCAGGAAAATGAAGCCTATAATTTGTGCAACAGCCCCTGGGACACAGCTTTAATCCCTTCTACTCTTCTCCCATCCTTTCCAATTTTTCCTTTCCTTGACATTCAACAATGACATTCCTGCAGGGCTGAAGAAGCTGGCTCTGGTTCCTGGTTTAGTTACTAGAAAGGAAAAGAGGATACCAGATATTAAGTGCAATATCTGCTATTTTCCCACCAAGACCTCTCATGAGGCAAAGCCCGCACAGTATTGACAAGAACATATGTCTTTTAAGGCTTTGGTGTTGAACCCCATGGATTTCAGCTGCCTTTCTTAGAGCTGTGGGGTGGGAGAAATCAGAGGTTAGAGGGGTAAAGATGAACAGAAAGATCTTGAACTCTGCCTTTCTGCAATTTATATATATACATTTGGGTCAGGAAGCTTAGTAAGCAGTTTTAGATGCATTTTAATATGCAAAATGACTATATTAAGGTGTCTTTCTATATTTCAAGGGCTGTTTTCTCTTTCTTGTTAGAGAGAAACTGGGAAAATGGTGCTGTGCCACCAGCAGCATGGCAAACCCTGGTGGCTTTGTTGCCCTCTCATGACCTTTTTCTTGTAAAGCTCAAATGAAAGCACTTAACAAAGCCTTTCTTGCTTCATCACAGCTGTGATGGGAGGGAAGAGCAATGACTTGTTCTGCTTATGTTTCTGAAAACCACCTGGACTGGAAACCAGTTGAATGGCAATGGCAAATGAGTGATGCTGGAAAGACAGGACAACAACAATCTTTGAAAGTAAAGGCATTTAAAGAGCAGGAAAAGGAAGGAAAAGCATCAATCCAGGCTCTCAGCTATGTCACCGCAGATCAGAGAAGCTTGCTGGGACCTTGCAAGGTCTTGGAGGCACCGGCAATCTCCAGGGATGCATGAGCATCTTTGATCCATAGCATTCTCTGCAGGGTGTTAGTTTGATGTCCCACCTTACCCAAAGGGCAAAGCTGATGTCCCAGGGGTCAGCAGCAGCAGAAATTTCTTCTGGAGTGAATTGCACATTTGAACCCTTAGGATCACCCAAGAGTCCTCCCAAAGAGCTCTATAGATGCTGTCCTGAAGGGTGCTGAGGTCCTCCCCAAGCCCTGGCCAGGTCCCGTCACTCCTGATATCTCAGAATGATTTTCAGCCAGTGGTGCTGTCCCACCCCAGCTGTACCACAACCTCTCTTAGGTGCTAAGTAGGATGTGAAACTCCTGTTCTAGCTGCTATTGAGTCACCAAATCCATAGGTCTCCACTCATTCAAAGGACAGGCTTCGGAGACTGAAAAAACCAGTGCCTTTGGGAAAGGGTAAAAATGGGATGGGCACCTCCCATTCTCTTCCTCCCCACCTAACTGCTACTTCCCAGCATTGGCAGAGCAATATAAATAAATATATTGCCTAAAGCCCTCCTAGAAAGGGGCTGGATCTCAGTTTAACCAATGGCTTAGAATCAGGAAGAGAAATCTGTCTCCTTCCTGATCATTTGAAAGTGAAACAAGCTTGGTCACTTTCCATGGCAGCCAGGAGGTCTGTGGAGAGCCTCCAGGATGAAGCCTCCTGCTCCATCTGCCTGGAACTTTTCCAGGACCCCGTGTCCATCCACTGTGGGCACAGCTTTTGCCGGGTGTGCATCACTCAGAACTGGAAAGGACTGACCACCAACTTCTCCTGCCCCCGGTGCAGGGAGATGGTGCCCCGGGAGAGCATCCGACCCAACTGGGAGTTGGCCAACATCATCGAAATAGCCAAGAGCTTGAACCTGCAACCAGTCAGAGAGGTGGAAGAAAGGGAGAACTTGTGCAAGGAGCATCAGGAAGCCCTGAAGCTCTTCTGTGAAGATGAGGAAAGGCTGATCTGCGTGGTGTGTGACAAGTCCAAGGTGCACTGTAACCATTCTGTGGTTCCTGTGGATGAGGCTGCCAAGGAGTACAAGGTGAGGGGTTTTCGGGCATGTTGATGCACCAAGGGCCAGAAGTTCCTGGTGTTGCTGCTCTTGATGGGTGCAGATACGTGTCTAGCCTTTGGGCTGTGGGATAAACCACCTGTGGACTCACCCATCCTTGGCTCTTGATTCCAAGTATTGAGGTGGCATTACCTGCCCTGAGGAAGAGGTGGACATAGGAGCACCGCGCTCTTGGGGACCAAGGGATCATCTCCCCCAGGGTTCAGCCATGAGCAGAGGCTTAGGGAAGAGTAAGAAACAGATGCATGTGATTTCTTACCACCACAATCTCCATGTAACCTTTTAACCTCACAATTTGCAATGCCAGGGGTTTACTGAGCCTCATGAGGGTTTGTTTATCCAGCAGCTATAAATGGCACTCTCCTCCAGGATGCGGGTCCCTTATCAAGATCAGGTATGCTGAAGATCAGTAGGAAAAAAAGAAAGAGATCCTCAGCCCTTCTCCCACCCCACAGCTCCCTGAAATCTCCTTGACCTTGGTTTTAAAAAAAAAAAAAAAAGAAAAAAGAAGGGGGAGGTTAACAGCCTCAAAACAGTCACAGTTGTCACAAAACTTTTGCAACACTTACTTCAAGAGCAGTCAAGAGTTCCCCATTGTTTCTGCTGAGCATGGCAGATTATGCCAAAATCCATGAGATTGCAACCATGACTGAATTTCCAAAGAAATTGACTTCCCCCCCCCCCAAGCCTGATCTTTATCCTCCGCTCCTTATTTGTTTGGTTTTTTTTTTAATTCTAAAAGCTTTACACCAATTACTAGCATCTGACCTAAGACTAAGCTAAGAACCCCCCCCCACTTTTCAAATGAAGGTGTTGTTTCTCCCAGCTAAATGACCCTGCTCACAGCAAAATGCCATCCTCCAGAGATCAAAACTTTCTTACATCATCAGCAGATGCAGGTGCCAGACCCATCTGTCTCCTGCTGCTGTGGACCAGCTGGCATTAGATGTGAAAGCTCTTCAGCTGGCCTGCTTGCAATCTGGAATGAGCCTGCTCGAATTTTGCACTGAGTTATTTTTTCGCCTGGCTTCACACCTCACAAGGTACTTTCCAGCAACAATGCCTCTGCAGGCAGCTCAGGCCAACCTGATATCAGTTTCCTTTTGCAATAGAGAAGCTGGAAAGACCCAGAATTGAGTTTCAAGCCAGCTGTGGACCAGGAAGCACTGTTGGCGTTGCAATAGCAAAGAGTCTACTTCTGATGGCAGACAATGATGCCATGAAACAAGGGACTTATTTCTTTCCTCTCAGGAAAGAATTCGGACCCAACTGCAGCTTCTGAAATTAGAGCACGAGGCGCTTCAATCTTCCGTGAAGGCTAGAGGAGACAGAGTCCAGGACTACACTGTAGGTACCCATCAGTTTTCCTTGGCAGAGGGTGGGGGAAGAAAGGAGAAACATCTCCTCTTCCTCTCTGCCATAGGTGGGTGATGCTCAAGGGGTGTGGGGAAGGTAGAGTGGGTTTGTATCTTTCCCAAATGCATCTTTTTGGTGGATCCCACTAATGCATGACACCCCGTTGACTCTTGATGGTCTTGTCCCACTTTCTACTTTCCTTTACCTGCTTTGGCTTGCCCTTGGCAGAAGAGGATAGAAGCTGAAAAGCAGAAGATTGTGACCGAATATGAGCAGCTGCACAAGTTCCTGGAGGAGCAGGAGTCCTTTCTGCTGGCTCAGCTGGAGAAGATGGACATGGAGATAATGAATGCACATAAAGAAATCCTCACCAGGCTTTTGGAGGAGACCACGAGCCTGGGCACTCTGATCAAGGAGGTGGAGAAGATATGCCAACAGCCAGACTGTGAACTCCTGAAGGTGAGACCCCAGGCATCCCAAACTTGCTGTGAAGGCACTGGCTGAGCACCAGCTTGGTCTCTAGCTCTTGATTTTATACCTCAACATGCTAAGGGAGGGACTTCATTACAGCAGGACCCTGGTACTCCAAGGGGAGGTATTGCAGGTCACTAAATCTCTTTTTCTCTCTCATCTAGGACATCAAAACCACCTTGAGCAGGTACGTGGTCCCTCTCCTATCAAAATTTCACCACAATAGTGCAACTTTGTGGCAGGATACTGGGAGAAATAATGTAGGGACAGGTTGGCCCTCCTGCAGTATAGCCTTTGGACTTGACTGAGGACACTGGGGTTTGGAAGGAGGGCTCTTCCTCTCTACTTAATTAATGATAAATTCAGACAAGTACCGGCACTGATGGCTTAGTCACCTGCACAAGCTGAACTAGGAGGACAGGGTTCCATTTCTGAAGAGCACAGGTTCCTATACTCTCAAAGTGAATATCTGGTGGGGCCATATGGGGGAAGAGTCTTAAGCCATTGTTGGGGAAATAGCTCAGCATAACAAAAATGAGCATCATCCTGGAACAAGTTGTCAGGGGGCAGCAAGGGCTGGTGGCTCCCTATGGAGCTGCACACAACCATACAGGGAACAGAGATGTCCCCAGCCATAGCCCCATCCCACGTGCCTGACCAAGGAGAGCCAAGCAGGGCTGGGAAGAACAGCCGGGGGTAGACCAGAGCAACAGGCAGGTCCATGGGCAAGCCAAGGCGGCAGCCCATGGGGTGGATCAGCAGGGCCCATGGCCATGCATGGATACTCCTCTGAAGCAGCTTGCAAAAGGGCTAAATGCTTCAGAGCTGAGCTTCAATAGAGCCCCTGGACCATGGGTGGGGGTATGGAGTCCCAGGTGGGTCTGCTCAGGGTTGTTAATTCCCGTTAGGGCCCTGACACAACCACCTCTTCCTTTCACAGCTGATGCAGATCAATAAACATCTACAAGAGTGATGTGTGATGATGTGTAATTTGCTGCCTAAGATGTGTGATGTGGTGCAGACCCATTCATCTTCCCTCTGCTAATTCTCCCCACTGACTACTGATAAAACACTGAGTAGCAAACTACAACCAGGCATAAATACATCCTCTTTCCTTCCAGATGCAAGAGGGAAATGTGGTCGCAGTCACTCAATATTTCCTCTGAGCTGGAAGAGAAATTCTGTGATTTCACAGAGAAAACCAAAGATGTCAAGGAGTCTATGGAGAAATTTCAAGGTACAGTGTGCAGGTCCGGAAAGGAAAATGTGATCGTGTTTCTTGGTGGGGAGGGATGGAGTGAAGCCATGCGAAAGAAATACATCCTGGTTGTTGAATGAGGGATTTTTTTTTCAAGATTGAATAATGAGATTGGAAATAAGCAGCGAGTGTTAGTCTGATTTTACCTGGCTGCCGCTGTTGTTGCCTGTTGCATTGAGTCCCATGTATTTCACATTAAGTATGTGGAGATAGTGTCTTGCTGCTGTCCCGTGCTCCTCATCACAGACACACTCCAATGCATCATTGTATTCATTTTCTTTGCAGCAGCCCCTCTGTGTGTGGGTGAATTTCATATGTATAGTCCTGTTTTTCTTCTCTCCCTCCTCAAGTTTCTCTACATTCCCCCAAGATTGTTCCTGACTCTGGATTTTTGCAGAAATCCAGAATCAGACCAATTTATCTTTCTGCCTCTCACATTTTTCTCTTTCTCTTTCCTCTAGGCATACTGGAGTTCAAACTTCCTTTATTGAGTAAGTGAACCGAACATGTGCCCAACCAATCCAGCATATTAAATAAAAAAATACAGTAAAACAAGCTCCGCTGGCCCCAATGATTAACTAAACTCCTCTGCTGCCTCCTTTCCTCCTTGTCCCATACTGGCCCCACCATGAGGCAACGCCTGGAGGGGTCCCAACTGGATCGGATGGATGGGAAAGGAGAGAAAAAGACCCTCAAAATCTGCTACAATGAGCCTGACTCTCTCTCCACCTCCAGCACAGGTGACACTGGACCCGAACACGGCCAAAGCCAAGCTTTACCTCTCAGAAGACTGCAAGATTGTGCGGTGGGGAAGGTATGAGCAAAAGCTACCCTCCAACCCCGAGAGGTTCAAATTCCATCCCTGCGTGCTGGGCTCGAGGGGCTTCACGTTGGGTTGGCACTGTTGGGAGGTGGAGATCAGCAGAGAAGGCATGTGGGCCATTGGGGTGGCCAAGGAATCAGTGCCGAGGGAGACAGATTTACCCCTGGTGCCCGAAGAGGACATATGGGCGCTGTGTCACATCAGCAGTGGGTACAAGGCTCTGACCCATCCCACTGTCACCCCCTTGACCCTACACAGTGTCCCCCAGCGGATACGAATCTGCTTGGACTGTCAGGAAGGGAGGGTGGTGTTTTTTGATGCTGTGAGCAAGGCACGGATCTTTGCTTTTCGGCAGGCTTCTTTCAAAGGGGAGGCGGTCTACCCATGGTTCCTGGTGAGGGGGAGTGCTTGCTTCAAACTTCTTTAAACTTTTTTCCTGTCCTGGTTTTGGCTGGGATAGAGTTAATTTTCTTCTTAGTAGCTGGTACAGTGTGTTCTGGATTTAGTGTGAGAATAATGTTGGTAACACACTGATGTTTTAGTTGTTGCTAAGTAGTGCGTATCCTAAGTCAAGGATTTTTCAGTTACCCATGCTCTGCCAGCAAGCAGGTGTACAAGAAGCTGGGAGGGACCGTGGCCAGGACAGCTGACCCGAACTAGCCAAAGGGACATTCTTACCATAGAACGTTATGCTCAGTATATAACCTGGGGGGAGTTGGTCAGGAGGGGTGGATCACTGCTCGGGCATTGGTCAGCGGGTGGTGAGTAATTGCGCTGTGCATCACTTGTCTTTTCTTGGGTTTTCTTTTTTTTTTTTTTTAAATTATCTTCCTTTTAATTACTATTATTATATTTTATTGTTATTATTGTTAGTATTTTATTTTACTTCAGCCATTAAATCGTTCTTATCTCAATGCACGAGTTACTTTTGGTTTTTGATTCTCGTCTCCATCCCATTGAGAGGTGGGGAGTGAGTGAGTGGCTGCATGGTGCCTAGTTGCTGGCTGGGCTTAAACCATGACATTTCCCAAGGCACAGGGAAAAAAAAAAAAAACAACACCCCATCCACTCACTCCTGGGAAACAAACAAGGGGCTGGGTTTTGTCCCAATTCCACCATGAGCGTCTGCAGCTCCAGGTGTTACAACAGTCAGAACTGGGAATGAGCACAGAAACAGGACTGCTCCTTTTGGCATTGGTTCGATGTGATCCCTGATGCACTGGGCTTTAGTCAAGCCAGAGACTGGACCTTTTCCTTGAGGCTATACAACAGACACAGGGGTTCAGATGAAGGTCCATCAAGTCCTTGCCCTGTCCCCAAAAGTAGATGCCTAGGAAAGCAAATAAAAGCAGGGCAAGAATGACTATGGGCCCAGGACCTCCATTTAAGCAGCGTAAATGCGTAATTAAACAATTAAAAGCATATAATGACAGGCATGGAGAGATGTCATGTTTGGCTCTGTCCTCTCTCTAACCCCATTGGGTAGCTGCAGAAAGCGATTCGCTCCGTCTCCTTTCCAAGCTGGATAATCCCAATCTCTCCCCATCCATCCTGGGCTTCCGTTTGGCAGCCTGATGCTGTCTTCCTTGTACTGGGAAGGCCCAAACTGGTCCCCGTACACAGATACAGCCTCACATGTGCTGATGGAGGGGAACAATCCTTCCCCTCTCCACTCTTGCTAATGCAGCCCCATATGGGGTTGATATCTTTGGTGCATGGTCCCACTGCTGACCCATGGACTCATTAGGATGAGAGGAAATGGCCTCAAGTTGCACCAGGGGAGGTTTAGATTGGATATTAGAAAAAATTTCTTTACTGAGAGGGTTGTCAGGCATTGGAACAGGCAGCCCAGGGAAGTGGTGGAGTCACCATCCCTGGAGGTGTTCAAAAAACATGTAGATGTGGCACTTCAGGACATGGTTTAGTGGACATGGTGGTGTTGGGTTGATGGTTGGACTCGATGATCTTAAAGGTCTTTTCCAACCTAAACAATTCTATGATTCTGTGGACAACTTGTCACCCCCCAGAGACCCTGAAGTCCTGTTCCATGGTTGGTCCTGGTGCAGGAGGCTATCCCACCCCAAGTTTAATGAGACTTCTCCCCAACCACGTCTCCAGTCCATCCTGGTCCTGCTGAAGAGCAGCCCTGCCCTCCTGCCTCCTATCTGCTAACTCACATCTGGCTCAGAAAGCCAACTGAACCGAAACCAGCAGGAGGCGAGGAGGAAGCATCGCGTGTGCTCGCCCTCTTCTCGCTCCTCTGTGCTGCCTTTTTGTGGCGTTTGGGCTGGGGGTTGATTTCCCCCCATTGGCAGTGAGGAAACGGCTGAGCCAGAAGAAGGAATGTCCTTCTCTTCTTCCTGCAAAGTGAAGCTTATTTGATCCTCTCCCAGAGGTAGGTTGGGAAGAGCCATGGCTATGCAGAGTCCAGTGGAAAGCCTGCACAGCGAAGCCACTTGCTCCATCTGCCTGGGTTATTTCCAAGACCCCGTCTCCATCCACTGTGGCCATAACTTCTGCCAGGCGTGCATCACCCACTGCTGGGAAGGGCTGGAGTCACATTTCTCCTGCCCGCAGTGCAGGCAGACGGCTTTGCAGAAGAGTTTCCGTCCCAGCAGGGAGCTGGCAAATATTGCCAAAATTGCCAGGCAGCTGAACTTGCGGGCAGGAGAAGGAGCAGTGGGATGGGAGAATTTGTGTGGGCAGCACCAGGAGGCTCTGAAGCTCTTCTGCAAGGACGACCAGCAGCCCATCTGCATGGTGTGTGACAGGTCCCAGGCTCACCGCTTCCACACCGTGGTCCCTGTCGAAGAAGCTGCCCAGGAATATAAGGTAAAGCCTGGGGGGACATGCTTGCACCTCCCCACCTCACAGAAAATCCCTTTCCAGGGGCAAAGTACAGCAGTTCAGGTGCATCCGCTCTCTGTGCCCCTCCGTGGTGCAGCTGCAAACAGGGACCTTTGGGTGTCACTTACTCATGTGCTTCCTGTTTGCATTTTACTGCATGGATATTTGTTTTTTGCAATGTTCCTATAAGGTCGTCCCCTTTAATTTATTGATCTTTGCCAACAGCCTGGGAGAAATAAAAAAAACCCCAACCTTGTTAGCCTTTTTCCTCTTTGAAATCTGCTGTCGACTCAACTGTACTGAAATACTGACAACAATAAATATTCAAAATATGTAAAAATGCCTAAGAATTCCTGATTTTTTTTTGCTTGGTTAAATCAATTATTGAAGGCAATTTTGCATATTTGTTCCCCTATTCACTCTTTCTTCTCTGTTTCACTCTGTTCAAATACAGAGAAATAACTTTTTCCTGTCTCTTCTTTCTCTGATCCTTTTGTTTTCTGCTGACCCAAACCTGTTCTCATCATCTCACCAAAAAGCCAAGCACTTGGCAGAGTCATGCAAACACAGTGCAACATCGTGCAGCGTTAACAGGAGGAACTCCTTGCTGCAAGATGTTGCTGATGCTGAAGGTTTCTGTGGGTTCAGAAAGCACTTCTATAAATGCATGCTAAACAAATCCACTGAAGGTTATTAAATACAGAGATATTTGTCCCAGAGCCACCAATTTCTGGAGGCTGTGAGTGTTTTTGAGGGAAATCTCACTGTGCACTTATCTTGCTCTTACATGCTTCCAGGACATGGGCTATTGATTACTGTTGGTGTTTCGCACTTCTGCAGATTTTTTTTCCCTGTGCTTGCAGTGAGGTTTGTGTTTGCAGGTTGCATTTTCTTTGCACAGATCTTCAGAACACCATAGGTCACTTTTGGACCTTCTTCCTCCTCCAGTTCCACTCCTTGCAGAAGAGCCAGTGTTTAGGCAAAGCCTTTCCCATCTAAGATGAAGGCAGAAGTAATTTTAGTGGATAAAAAGGATTTTTCTCAGCTCCTCCAAGAACATATTGTCTTTTTCTGTAGGAAGAAATCCAAGCCCGCCTACAGGCTTTGAAGGAGGAGAGAGAAAAATACCTGGAAAGCAGAAAAACTGGAGTAAGGAAGAGCTCATACCTGGTAGGTGCCCTCCAGCAGAAGCCTGGGGGAGCGTGGGTCTCTCACTCCACCCCAGCATTGCTGGTGTATTTTGAGGCCAGATCTTGCATATTTGGTTTGCAGAGTGTTGTGCCATTTGCTCTGGGCACCAGCCAACCCTGTGTTTATCAGCTAGGTTTTCACATTAGCTGGAGCCTGCACTGGGGAGATAACATTGCAGCTCCTTTGCAAGGGAGCTAGGGGGGCAGGCAGCTCTCAGCCTGGTGTAGAGATGGGCTGGAAGGTTTCCACCCCCCCTAAACTCTATTAATCTCCCTCTTATAGAGCCCAGTTGAGGCTGCATCTTTTGGTTTTGCTTCCAGGCTAAGCCTCCTGAATAGTCCCTGCTACTACCTAAATCCCCAGCAAGAGGGTTTGCTGTTAAATGCACCCTTGTGTTGACTGAATATCACTGAGGACATGGTCTCCTGAGACCAGCCGGGTGGCCTTGAAGCATTAATCTGTTTTTCTTGGGCATGGTGGGATTCTTCTGTAGCTCCCACCATCTCCTGCCCATCTTGCAGAGCTTCACCTGAGGCTACTGTGATTCCTTCTGCAAAGGTCTGGGGTTCTTGCAGCCCCACAGACTGTGTCAGCCTTAGAGATGTGACACTAATAGAAACTAGAATGATGTAATGATAATCCACGAGGGAAGTTTTTGCCAGTGTTTCAGGTGCTAGAGTCGTAGAGAGGTCACACCATGCCTTCTGCTCTGTGGGGAGGTCTCCTGCCCTCCTTTCATCCCCTTTGCCCTCATCTCTGATCCTGGCAGGAGAAAACCAAAACTGAAGGGAAGAAGATAGTGTGTGAATTTGAGCAATTAAACCAATTTTTGAAGGACCAAGAGCGCCTCCTCCTGACCCAGCTGATAGACCTGGACAGGGCCATCACCAGGATCCAGGATGAAGCAGTGGCAAAGGTCTCAGAAGAGATGTCCCACCTTGACACCCTGATCTGGGAGATGGAGGGGAAATTCCAGCAGCCGGCGAGCCAATTCCTGCAGGTGAGAGCCCAAAGCATCAGGGCTGGTGGGGAAAGGAGGGATAGAGCAAAGCCTGAGACCCAGGAGCCCAAATTCAGCCCCATGGGAACCCCCTGGTGTCTTCTAGCATTGCTGCAGGTGGGATCATCCTGTGGGTGGGGTCCTTCTTTGCTACTGCATTGACATGAAAATACATAACTTTTGTTAGAAGATACACTTGTTGTTCCTCTTCCCCAACTGTCTTTCCTCCTCTCTCTTCCCTGCTTTAGGACATCAGAAGACTCTTAAACAGGTAATGTGGCTCCTTCTCACTTTACCCACACTCTGATGCTTGGAGAGGTTCTGGATGCCACCTGGGTGAATCCTGAGGTCAGGGTCTCAAGCCAGATGGATGCAATCGATAGCTCGGCCTCCCACAGCTGTGCTTTGTGTTCAGAAACATCTGCTCAGCGACTGCCTGGGGGAAACAAACTGCAAAGAAACAGGGCAGGGAAAAGGGGGATTTTATTTGCTCCTGGATAAGTATCCTCAGCCCGTCCCATAGCTTCTCCTGAATTATTTAATGAGAACAAAATGAGCAATCAAACATATTGCATATGGGTTTTGCCCTCTTCTGCTCTCTTTGCAGTTGTGAGATGATGCAGTTCAACCCTCCGGTGGAGATTTCCTCCGATCTGGAAAGAAGGCTTGAGGACTTTGTTCAGAGAAACATCCTTGTGAGAGGCACACTGAGGAAATGCCAAGGTACTGAGCAGGGTTAGGAGAGGGCACGTTGCCTTGTGTGCCTGATATCTGTGAGAAACTGGGTTCTTGTGTGCTGGCTGCTAGTGCAAAACCCACCTAGTAACTGTTGTAAATAAATGCAGCTGAAAGTTTTAACTAGAGAAGGACACTGACAGTTTTTCCTGGGGCAAAAATAATCGGGAAGTGGAGAGGAGAGAAAAACAAGCTCAGCAAAGGAATGTCCTCTCCCCTGTCCCACAAGAAAAGCAAATTCAAACAGAGCTGCTGGTGCAGTTGTTCCCATCACTTCCAAGCTGGTGGGAAAATTAAAGTTCATGTGGGTACAAAGCCGGGAGGGGATGCTACAACAGGGGGAGAAATCCATTGCAGTGTCTCTTGGAGATGAGTTTACCTTTGCCAGGAGGTTCATCTCCCCTGGCTTTGGGAGAGTTGTATAGCTATCACAGCTTCAATATCTGCACCAGAGCAAGTCAACCCAGAGCCTTTGCACCCAGCCAAGCCCTCACACAGTATTTCCGCTCTCAAGTCTCCCGTTAGCTGTTTCACCTCCCCCGCCTGTGCAATAAAGCTAAGCTGCAGCCAGTTTGCCCAACACATAAACCTGATACCATGAAATCTCTCTCCTCTTTAGACGGCCTGATGTTTAAATTGCAAGAGCCAAGTAAGTCAATGGTAGTGGGTGGGAGAAAACGGGGTTTTGGCTTGTGGAAGAAATTCCTGTGGAAAAAACAATGCAATCCCCCCAGAGAGAGGAAGGGAAGGGTGACAGCATTCTGCTGTTGATGCTCCTGGTGTATCCGGGGAGTGAGATATGGTCCTAATAAAGCCAAATGCCCCTCTGGGACCCAAAGAAAGGGAATGCTGAGAAGAGCATTTGTGCTTCCCCTTCCCTCCCCATTAATTTCCCACCATCCCCTCCCCGTGCCTCTGCTCCATGCTTTTTCCTCTCCCCCCCTTCTCCTTTCACCCAGGGGACCCCAAGGGTAGTGCCAGTCCCAGACCTGCCCTTGATGCTCAGTGAAACATTCAAAGCTGGGAGAAGCAGGGGAGTGGGGCTGGTCCCAGATGCTGGGAGGAGAAGAAACATCTCCAGCCTCTCCTGGGGCCAAGCCCTACATCCAGTACTCTGGTTCTCCCTTGTCCTGCAGCCAACGTGACCCTGGACCCAGCCACAGCTCACCCCAACCTCTACCTCTCCGAGGACCGAAAACAAGCCAGGGGCCAACTGACCCAGCAAGACCTCCCGGACAACCCAGAGAGATTTGACTTCGAACCCTGCGTGCTGGGCTGTGAGGGCTTCACCTCAGGGAGACATTTCTGGGAGGTGGACGTGGGGCAGGGGGGTGTCTGGGCCCTGGGGGTGGCCCGAGCATCGGTCAAGAGGAAGGGACCGATGAGCCTCACCCCCAAGGAGGGGGTCTGGGCGCTGGAGGCTTATTACTCACTCGCATCCCCCCGTGCCAACCTGCACCTGAACCCACTTCCCAGGAGGATACGGGTCTCCTTGGACTATGAAGGGGGGCGGGTGGCATTTTTCAGTGCAGATGATGATGCTCCCATCTTGGTTTATACCAGAGCCTTGTTCAATGGGGAGAGGGTCTTCCCCTGGTTCAAGATGGGGATGGGGGCTCGTTTGCAAGAAATCACCCAAATCCCACCCTCAGAGGACCAGTCCATGACTGGGCAGCTGATGTCCCCTCTGGACTGGGTAGGATTCAGGTTTCCCCTCCAGATCTGTCCTTGAGATGTCTGTCAATCAGACCTTAATGAAAGGGACATCTCCTGTGTGATGCCACCTGTTTGCTGTGCTTGCTAGAGCATCTCGCTGAGACAACCTGCTGCTCCTCTCTCATGTCCATCTCCATTGGGAGCTTTGGGGTGGCGCCTGTACAGCAAGGATGGGGAGATGGGGACACCAGCAGATAGCAGTGAGGAGGAAGGATCAGCAGGTACAAGGTCATGGAGTCAGAACACTGAGGGGTTGATCAAGGATGGAGAGCACTCAGGACTTCCAAACGTGAGGCCTTTTAAAATTCATTTTGCCTTTAACGGACCAAATCCTCTGCTTTTACCTCTTTCCGAAGTGTTTTCTTTCTGACATCAATTGCAAGGCAGATCCAGAGTCTGTTCTGCCAAGGGAGGTGGCCTTTCACTACAAACTAGCTTGGTTTGGGGAGCTGGTCTCTATCTCTGTCTAGATTTCTGATAATTATTTTAAATAAAAGAACATTTTGTTTTGCATTGTCCACTTTCTGCCTTGCTATGGATGTATTATTCTGGATTTCTTAGCCTTTGGATCAGCAAGATTAAGAAAAGCTGCACAGGATGGGGACACCTTGCTTACCTTTCCACCTTCTCGTGATGGACCTCCAGTCATTCAAGCCCCCTTTGCAGGCAGTGAAGGGAAATGAACCCATCTGGAATGCAATTTTCCACACCATTATACATGTCCAGCTTCCTGGATAACTCCCAAGAAAAGCCTGTTTCTCCCTGTTGGCTGTTCAGGAGGGACGAGGTGGGACAAGTTGTACAGGAGGCTGCTGTGGCTGTGCCAGTTAGATATTCCTCAACTATAAAAGTAGGTGGAGTGGATAGGTAAAATACAAATTCTGGCATTTTTGCCTGATTCACCTGCATTGATTCCCTCAAAAACTGCTGATTTTCTTCTGAGGAAACCCAAAAGAGGAAGAGGCACCACTGAAATAAATACACGTTATTGATTACAGAACCAAGAAGAGGAACTAGAAGCGAGAGTGGGAGGGAGCGGGTGATGTTGGGCTCAGAATAACAGACGAGATATGAGTGGGCACCCTGTGATGAAGTCCCATCTCACCATTTCCATGGGTCCCATTGAGGGCAAACTTACAGCTGGTATTTCGGTGCTCTTTGTCACGCTGTGACATCTCCCCTCTATCCATGCTCCTTAGTCTGGGGCATCACTGTCACTTGGTCACATCAGTTGGGAAACATGGGGGATCCCACTGCAGGATAGATATCTGCTTTCTGCAGAGCCAACCTGAAATCACTGCAGGAGCTCAGGCATGAGGATTTATTAAAAACGGGCAATCAGGGCTACTGGGAAAGACTTTTGAGCAAACAGCCTTGAGTACTTTTTGCTCTTTCTCCCATCTCATCCCCTTTGCCTTTGCCACATCTCTGCTGGGGAGGAGTATGATCCATGTCCAGACACAGATCCAAGCCCAGCTGGGAAAGGTAGAGGGGAATACAAATATACAGGCTGTAGGTGCAGGAAGGACCAAAGAAAAAACAGCCTGGGTGAATCAAGGGAAAAGCTCTTGAGCTGTTTTGCAAGGACAAGCTTGTGGGTTGCTGGAGATCCCTGAACTACCGTGGTCCCACCACACTCCTCTCAGAGGCACTTGCTGAGAAGCGCAAGGCACAGACACCAGGTCCCAGTAAAAGTCTGTGCTTTCCTTGGAGGTAGAAAACGATGTTTTTCCGACTCTTTCAGGGCCACAGGGTCCCTCCATGTCTCTGATCTCCATGCACCTCTCTCCCAGCTCCACCTCTCTTCCAGGGTGTCCCTTCACTCTAGAAATATGCGATGCAGATGTCTCCGCCCCAGCTGGTTTTCCAGGCTCTGTAGACGCTTTTAGGGTGCAACTCATTTGCCCAACCATAGGCACCTAGTTTTGAGATGAAAGGAGCTGTGCCCTAGGCTGTGCCGATGGTGCAGAGCCACTATCTGCCGAAGAGCAAAGCAGCCCAGCTCAGACGGAGGTGTCTCATTAGATGCCAACATTCATTCGGTTGCACCCACCTCCTGCATCTGGCAGGATTGATTGCCTCCCAACCTGCTCACTCCAGGCCATGCTTCCCTGGCAAGCGGTTGCAGGGCGTTTGCTTCCAGTCCTAGTGTTCCTGGAGCAAGTTACTCCCCTATGGCTCTTCCTGATGGGAATAGTTTGCTGGAAACGAGACTTGCATCTCCAAACCCGGCTGAGAAATTGCAGCTGGGAGAGTTATCGCAGTTGGTAGCCCTTCAGCTGGGTCACGGTGACCCTGTCTCAAAATCCCGGTTGCTGCCATGCAAAAAAAAATATATATATTTAACCATGGAGCTTAAAAAAGGAGCAGTGGGTTATAAATTCCTTAGAAACATTTCCCTGTGAGCTCAGAGCCAGGACGGTGCTTCTGGGAGGTCATGTAGTGATGGGTGGCTATAGGCACATTCATGGCAGGAGTGCCAAGGACCCCAACTTGTGCTCCTTTAAGCACATTGAGTCACAGCCCTTCTTCCAGCACCTACAAAGTTCTGGCTGCACATTTCCCGCCCTGTTTTCTTATGCTTTCCCCACCCATGGTCCCACCAAGCCTCAAGAGCTCCCCACCCTCCTGGCAGCCTGAATTTGCCTCCAGCGCTTTTCTGGGAGGGTTGATGGTTTTGCCTAGCGCCCAGCCCTAAAAAGAGGAGGACAAAAGCAGTGAGGTGACAGCCCTCAACAGCTCCCCAGAATAAAAAGCTGGAAGATTGACAAGCGAGAAACATGATGCTCCGAGCACATCAGGCCAAGGGTGTCACCACCTCCTGCCCAGGAGACATGGCACGAAGAGCTGACTCACAGGCTCAACGCATCCGTGCCGCAGTTTTATCCAGGACTGGGAAGGAACAAGAAGAGAAAGGTACAGCCCCATCAAAGGGATAAAACCAACAGGTTTTTTTTAGTTCACTTTGGAAGAAATTCAGGCAGATATTAAGTTTTCTGAAGGAAGAGAGAGAAGGTCTCCGAGGAAGGACAGCTACCCTGGAGTGCAGAAAACTGGAGGATCTGGTAGGTGTCAACCTCTCTGACCTCTTAAGTCCCTGGACAGTAATACACTGACTTTAGGATCATTTCTTTAGATCATTTTCAGTTGCTTTACATCACTGCTGTGCTGGTAAGTGCAGGAATATCATGGCTTTCTGCCCAAGTTCATGCAAGTGTGTTTGTAGCTTTTATCAGTATCTCTCCTCCCAAACCTGTGTTGCTTTTTTGCATCAGGTTTGATTTTTTTTTCCACCCAGATTTCTCCAGGAATTCAAGAAAAATTAGTAGGCATTTTGGTTCATGGGTGATCTCCTGTGGGAAATGCCTTTCCATGGATTCCTCATAGTATTTCCCATCCCACTGCTCCTTTGCATCTTAAAAGGGGAGGACAGAAGCCGAACCCTGGCAGACTGTGCTCAGATTTTAGACATGCTGCAGGTCCCAGGAGGACATGAGCTCTTCTTGCTTTCACAGCTGGAAGACCTGAAAAATGAGATTGAGAAGAGGCAGGCAAAAAATGCCACCAAACCCTCAGAGGAGATTTCCCAGCTAGATACCCCAACACAAGGGCAGGAAGAGAAGAATCAGCCATTGGTGAGTGGATTCATCCAGTTTACAGCTTTTCAATGGAAAATTGTAGGGGGGGGTGGTCCTCCCCACCAGGTAGCTACTGGCTTAATGAGTTGGGCTTTCCTAGTTCTGGTTTGCTCCTATTCCCTTTGTAGACTTGAAAACCCCAAGGGCATGAGGAGGGGGGGATTTGCAGCCTGGAAAGATGGAAGAAAAAAAAAAGGGAATGAAATCACTGTCTGTGGGAGGGAATAGTGATGGCTGGTGGCTCCCTACGGGATGGGGAGCTGGGCATGATAGCGTAGGGAGCAAGAGCGTCACCAGCCTTCACTCCATCTTTGCGGTACCTGAGAGAGGGGAGCAGGGCAGGGCAGGGCAGCCCAAAACATCAGGTAGGTCTGTGGGCAGGAGGCAGGGCTGAAGGCAAGCTGGGAATGCAGCCTGTGGGGTGAATCAGCAGGGTCCACAGTCATGTTCCTCCAAGACAACTTGCGAAAGGACTAACTACCCCAGGACTGAGCTTAAATAGAGCCCCTGGGCCATGGGCAGGGGGTGGGTGGTGTCTCAGGTCAGGCTGATCAGGGCCATTAATGTCTATTAGTGCTGCTGGGGGCCCTGGTACTCTGCAATGGTCTAATGAGATTATGGAGGAGACAGAGGCAGTGTCTCAGAAGTGGCCAGTGAAAGGATGAGAGGCAACTAGCACAGACTGCAGCAAGATATTTTTTTTTTTCTAGATTTGGGGAAAAAAAGTTTTCCTTGTTAGCATGGTGCCTCCCTGATTCAGGGTCCCTCTAGATGTGGGCATTTCCATCCTTCCATGTATTCAGAACTTGCCTGGACCCAGCATTGAGCAGAGGGTTGAAGCTGGGACCCAAGAGGTCCATCCCCAACTAAATAATACAACATTGCTGTGATTTAAGCAGAAAAGTTCATGCTGAGCTTCCTTTTCTCTTTCTCTCTCCTTTCCCTAGGATGTGAAAAGCACCATCAGCAGGTATGTGGCCTCTCTGAAAGGCTGTTTCTTGAGCTTTTCAAAGAGCAAAGACCATGGAGGAGAAAACTCATTGGTGGCTGCTGAATACACCTTTGCTTCAGGGAAAATGTGGGAGTCAGGAAGGGTATTTTGGGTACAATCGCTACATGCTTGTCTCTTGAACGTTTCAGGGGATGCGCTAATCAAAGGAGTTTTAGTCTCAAAATGACCTCCACATTGGCAAAGGCTGGCTTTAATTTCACTGCAGAGTTTTGGCTCTTTTCTCTAGCCCAGTCCTCCCAACCAGGACCTTTCTCATGGTCTACATAAAAAATAAAGTTAAAAAAAAGATTGATCCAACAGGGAAATTTGGCCTTCACTTTCCTTGAGGTTTGAGATGCCAAGGAGGTGAGACTAAAAAAAAAAAAAAACAACATTCTAGCAATACCATCACCTCATTTCTGGTGGCATCAGATTTCCTGAAATGATGACAATCATTCCAAAAAGTGTAAGTTGTTTGGTTTTTTTTTTTCCCAGGTGTGGGAAAGTGACTTTCCAGCTGCCAGTGGATGTTTCTCCAGAGTCAGAGGAGAGAGTCTGTCACTTCTCATGGAGGAACAGTGCTCTGAAGGAAACTCTGAAGAAGCTACAAGGTACTGAGAAAGGCTGGAGGAGGAGGAAAAAAATAGACTAGGCATATTTTGGGGAGAGCTGGAAGAGCTGATCTGCCCTTAGTTCATTCTGGATATACTTTGGGAACAGAAATACTGGAGAGAGAAACCCTGAGATGGAGGAGAGGAAGAGCAAAGGGCTTTTCCTGGTCAGAAGAAATGACTATTTGATACCCCCTTAATGCCTCATTTATCAGTCTCTTAGTTATAAATGTTTTGCCCTAATTCCTGAAGGATGCTCATGGATGAAGGATGGGCTGCTCTCTGGCCCTGCTCCCCCTCCAGCCTAGCCTTTCCCAAAATTGGCTTTTGCTGAGCATGAGAACGCAAGAGCAGCTGTACCTGTTAGATGAAGGTGCACCTAGCCCAAAGTGGCCAAAAATAGATGCTGAAGGAAGAATACGAAAATTAGGGCAACCCAACAAGTTTTCTCAGCCCTGCAGCTGAAGCCTCTGCGTAATTCTGGAGGAAAGCCCACCCCAGGGCAGAGCTCTTGCCTTGAAACCTAACTATTTCCATGAAACAAATACAGAAACAGACCGACCTAATTCATTACCCTGTCTTCAGGTTTTAGCTCTTTTTTTTTTTTAAACCACATGCTCAGCCAAACCAGTCTGGTCTTGTCCTGTGGTCGCTGTAAGAGACAACCTGCTCAAGACTTTCCTGGTTTACATCCCACGTATCGCTTCCCTTCATTTTTTTTCTCTCCTCAACATTTGTTTTTGGCCTGACATAGCATAAAGTCTCCAGGGATTTCTGCATGAGCCTGTTGCCATTACTGTGTGCCTTTCCTTTTTGGTTTTTGGGGGTTAAAAACAGCTTTTTTGCTTCATGTACAGCACCCTTCCTCATGTCAGGGATGCTTCTGTCTTGGGATGCTTTTGCCCCTTGGATGCCAGCCTGGGTCCTGCTGGCCCCCTCCAAGCCCCCCACATCCCCAGGGGGCTCAGCCCTGCTTCTGACACCCCTGTCCCCCACCCCACAGCCATCGTGACCCTGGACCCTGACACGGCTCATCCCGACCTCATCCTCTCCGAGGACCATAAGAGCGTGAGACGCGGGGAAGGACGACGGGACCTGCCTGATAACCCTGAGCGATTTGACTACTGGCCCTTCGTGCTGGGCTGCCAGGGTTTCGTGGCTGGCCGGCATTGTTGGGAGGTGGAGGTGGGGGACGGGGGGGATTGGGCTGTGGGGGTGGCCCGTGACTCCATTCGTCGGAAGGGGCATCTCAGCCTCTGCCCCCAGGGAGGGATTTGGGGGGTAGAGAAGTGGGGGGGACAAATCCGGGCGCTCACCACCCACAAGGTGACCCTGCTACCCCTCCGCTGGGTGCCCCGGCGGGTCAGCGTCCACCTGGACTACACTGGAGGGACGGTGGCATTTTTCGATGCGGATGAGGGGGGGCTTATGTTCATCTTTTCACGTGCCTCCTTCACCGGGGAGAGGGTCCGCCCATGGCTCTGGGTGGTGGGGGCCAGGTCCCAGCTCAGGCTGTGTCCCTGAGACAGAGAGCAGTGTCTCCCCCACTTTTTATAGCCTCAGGGGACAACCTTGTGCCCCCCCTAGGCCATGGGGAACAGAAGAAATGGGGACTTTTGCTTTTGTGTTTCTTTCTTCCCCATGAAATTGAGTGATTGATGCACAGGGAAGAGAGAGAAGCCTGAGAGAAATGAGGCAAAGAGAATGGAAAAGCTCTGGGGAGGGGACCCTGGGGCAACCATGGGAAAAGGGGAAAAAAAAAAAAAAATATCAGAGTGACAGTAGTAGAAAGGCAAATTTTCCCAAGGTGTGCCTGATTAAGTATAGATGTCCCCATCTGAGCTGGTCACCTCCAAACCAAGGTGTCCAAACTTTACCTTTCCCCCCCCCCCAACCTCCCAATGGGTGCAATTGCCCTACACCAGACAGTTTCTCCCTATAAAGGATCCTGTGGTGGCCAGTTCAGATGCAGACATCTGCTCTGTGAGTTTCTGGTGTCAGGAGAGGTTAATCCCAAAGCTGCAAGGGGGGGGGAGTCTCACCAGCATGGCACCTTTGCTGATAGGAAGTTCACACATGGCAAAGCTGCTCCTGAGCCTCAACTCTTTCCTCTCTTCTCCTCCAACAACTGATATTTGAAACCCCATGCTGTAGATCATTAATAATAAAAAAATACATGATTTTCTCCTCTGTGTCTTTCCTTCTGGTTGGGACTGCCAGTAGACAGGAGAGCAGTGTGGCCCATGGCTTCCAGGGATGTCCCTAGGTCACCAGCATGGGGCTTGTGGACCCTTCTGGGTGCAGGCACTCACAGGCTTTGTGCAAATATCAGGAATGGGATTTTAGTCAACTAAAACTCCAGTTGCCTCCTCCTTGAACCTGACATCCAGAAGCAGCAAATAACCAGGCAGAGAAGAACATTGCAGCATGTAAATCTTTTTACTTCATCTAAAACCATAAGACCAGGGAAGCAGTCAGGCTGGTGCAAGATGCTGTGGGGCATATGTAGTTCCATTTGTCAGCCATTGATGGCCCAGTTTGGGGATGACCATTTGAGATGCTGACCCACAGAGATGCTCAACCCTTTGGGATCACTGAGGATGGGAAGAGAGGCCAGAAAGGCCAACTAGGAATTTAGTAGACAGAAGTTCTCCAAAGTGCTGGAAATAGGGATGTTGGGGACATAAAGCTTGTGTTTGGGTAAGAAGGGACAGCTTCAGGGACACAATGTGATCTGGGAGCCCTTGCTCCACACCAGGAACCAGGGATGAATACTCTCCCCTTTAAATGAAGCTGCTGCAAAAGTGAAGATCAGGGCTCTCTTATCAGCATCAAAAAATGCCACCTGACCCTTCTCATAGTCCAGGGAGACCCGGACCCTTCTGGGGACCTGGATCTGGTATAGCGGGATACGCTCAAGGGAGGTGAGAGCCCAAAACTGACCCTCACAGAGACCCATAGACCAGAGCTCCATCTCCGGGCTCACAGCAGTCTCTGTCCTCCTCTTCAGGGACTCCCTGGCCACCCCCACAGCCCAGGAGCCTTTGGGTGTCACCTCCACCTCCCAGCAGTATCTCCCCGAGGTGATGCCCTCGCAGCCCAGCACGCAGGGATCGGTGCCAAACCCCTCAGCGGATGGGTCCTGCTGGGCATCTTCCCACCTCACGCTCCTCCCATCCGCAGACACGACGAGCTGGGGGTGAGCTGTGGATGGATCCAGGGTTACCTTCACTGCAAGGGACAGAGAGCAGAGCAAAGTAAATGAAACCATTTCCCATGGCCTCAGGTGCTGGGGCAGAGCAGGGAGGTCCTGCAGCACCATCCATCCCATTGCTTGGGATGCTCTGCCTGTGCTGCAGGGGCAGACATTGGTTGCTTTCCCCATCCCACGGGACCCTGGCAAGCATCAGAAGAAGATTCCCAAGGGAGCAAGAGAACAAGCCCCGAGGCAGATGAGTAGGAGACCCCTACCAGTTTTTAGTGCCCAAAAAGCCAAACTAGGCATTTGTTCCCTGAACATACTGACATGAGGGGCAGACTCAGTCTTCATGCAGCTTAGCAGCTCCATTGGAAGAAATTAATCCATCAACACATTAATGGTGAGGATTCCCTGACTCCTTACGGTGTTTTTGCCACCCCATCCCCCCATTCATTGTTTTGTTCAGACATGGCAACATCTTCCCCAGATGACCCTCCAACTCACGGCCCATCCCATGTTGGGCTCAGCCTTCCCACTCCCTCATCTCCAGGAGATGTGGACTTACTCTTTTCAGGCAGCTCAAACATCAGGATGTCTAAAGAGGGGAGAAGAGACATTATCTGATGTAACATCAGTGTGAACATGAAAACAGAGAGGTTGTTCTGCCATGCTGAGGCCACATATATAAATGCAATAAAATATAATTTATATTCTAAGTAAATATAATTTATGCTCCCACAGGTATTGCTCCATGTCCCCAGCCCATGCTCAATACCTTGGAAGCTCCTCAGAGTCTCCTCTAGAGCCATATTTTTCTCCCTGAAGTGACTGATTCTCTTTTCCAGCTCTGGAAGAAGCAATGGAGGCTGCTGGAAATTTTCCTTTTCAAACCTTAGAGAAGGAGGATGGAAAGAAGACATAAGGATGCATCTTCTCAGAGAGAGACCAAGAAATCCTTTGTGCACACCCAGAGCTCAGAGGAGCTGGTGCAGGCTTTAATAAACCTGCTGCACATTCAGCGATGGGTAGGGACATCTTTGCTCAGAGCCTCTGGCCACAAAGCCAAATATTTGACTTCTGGGTGAGGTTTTGTGAAGGCTTTCCTGTACCTGTCCTGCCAAACACAAGGTCCAAACTCCCTCCCCAGCCTGGGATGGAAGGAAAAGTCAGGAAGCCCCATACCTGCTCAAGGTGCCTCTGATGTCCTGGAAGGAAGAGAGGGAAAGGGAAACTCAGTGAATGGGTCTTGGCAGCAAAACATCTACTGAAACCTCAACAGCATGGATGTAGCTTTGGAGCAGGACAGCCTGGGTTTGGCTGCATCATGGGGCAATACCCAGAGCCAGAAAATAGCCTGGACCTGGACGGTGACAACCTGGCTCCATTCCCTTCTCCCTCACCTGCAGAAATTTGCTTGCTGGTTGCTGACACTTCTCCTCCATCTCCTGGATCAAGGTATCCAGACGAGATATCTCCTTTGTCAGACTCGTAATGTTTTCTTCCTGCATTTTCTCAATGTCCCTCTCCAGGTCCCCCACTTGAGCCAGCAGATGACGGGCATGGTCCTCCAGGAAGAGACGCAACCCTTCAAACTTGGAGAAGACCCTCTGCCGTTCGGCTTCGGTCTTCTCCTGTGAGGAGGGGACACAAGAAGGGAAGAGGAGGGTGGAGAAGGATGCAGCAAAGTCCCATGTGTGCCAGTGAATGCACACATGGAAATAGTCAGTGTCTCAAGTATCCTATATTCTTTTTTTTTTTTTTTTTGGCTTTGCATTCAGGAATTGAATGCCTGCAGAGCTCCAGGTTCTGCCTGTTATTTTTTCCTACAATGCAGTGAAAATTCAGGCAGCGTCTGGTTTGGTACCTGGAAAGGGACCCCAGCCCCAAGGCAGAGCAGGGTGATCTCCCACACGGCCATCTAAAGCCAAAGAGAGACATCCAGACCCTCATCCCTCCTCATAAAAACATTTACCAAGTACTCCCAGCTTCTCCTCATCTCAACCTCTCGAAACCCCAGGAGTTTGTCTCTGTCTTCCTTCAGGGCTTGCAGATGGGCCTGGATTTGTCCCTGAGGGAAGAAAAAACAAACACCCCATGTCTCTGGAGATTGAGACAGCCTAAAAAAAAATTACTCTGGGGAGGGGATTGTACTGTGGTCAGCTCCAGAGCTTCTCCTGGTGTCCCTCCTGGTCCAGAAGGATCCTGAGCTCAAGATCTGGGAATGCTTTAAATGGAAATAAATGCCACATAGTGGAAAAAGCTTTCTGCACCAGCCCTTGCCTGCACTGGATCTTTTCTCTGAGCTGATTTAACTCACTGATGCAGCAAGAAAATATCCCCCTTTTTTATTGACCTATGTTCCTGCTGGTTTGGAGAGCATCTTGGGATTGGCAGATGTGCAGTAAGCACCAGAGCTGGACAAAGTCTTGAATTTTGCAGCAGGGAGAAGGGGATTAAGACCTCAACCCCTTCAACCACAGAGCATCACATTCTCAGATGAGAACAGAGACAGCAGAAGCACTGATGCATGATCTACGCTGTCATTTTGAAACGGGCCAGTTTGCTCTGGGGGGAAGAGCAGAGGGGGGGGTAACGTTTCTGTCCCCAGCCTACTGCCCTGGGTGGGGGTGAGATGTTCCAAGCCTGATGGTAATGTGCTGCAAGGGGAACATCAAGCCCTAATGGTGCTGGTCTGGCTCCTAGTGCACGTCTAGATAGAAAAAAAATCCCCTTTACCTTGTATTCCTGGACAGCATCCTGCACAGGAAGCATCGTGTGAGCCCGGTGAGCTCGGGACTCCCGGCAGATCACGCAGATGAAGGCTTCATCGTCTTTGCAGAAGACTTTCAGAGGCTCCTGGTGCCTCTCGCATCCTTCCTCCTCAACCGTCTCCCCTCTGGCTGCCTGCAAACTCAACCGCTTGGCTATTTCGAGCACCCGTGCCAGCTCTCGGCTGGGCCGAAAGTTTCTCTCTGGTGCTGTCTCCCGGCACTGCGGGCAGGAGAAATTCGCCGTGGACCACTCCCAGCAGCGGGTAATGCACGCCCGGCAAAAGTTATGACCGCAGTGGATGGAGACAGGGTCTCGGAAATACTCCAGGCAGATGGGGCAAGAGGCTTCGCTGGGGAGCTCCGCAGTGGGGCTCGGCGCAGCCATGGGGCCCCCAATGTGAGCTGCAAGACAGCGGCTGCTTTCATTTTCCTCCAAGCGAGGGAAAGGCGTTTCCCTTCTTGCCACCCCCAGGGTGGGCAGAGCCAGAGCTGCGCCTGGGTGGGAAGGGAGAAAGCGGGTGATGGCCAAAGTCCTCCTGGTTGCATCCCCCAGG